CATGATATATTGTTTCATTCTGCTTTTTACATCCACAACACTCTTGTTTACCATTGTTGGAGAAATATCTGTGTTCAAGTTTTCCTAAATTCCATAAATGTAGAGTTTCTAGATATCCTGGCTTGTGCTTGTTGATATTCTCAATGTAAGCCCAAAATTTGGCATATCTTTTAGTTTTATCTTCATTTGTTTCATCTCCATATTCAACTGGATAAGTTGGAGTTCTTGTATGGACTTCTTCTTCTCTTCTTTGTCTTTTCTTATTAAGACGTCTAAATGAATCTGGTTCAATATGATTTCCATCTTTATCCTTTAAAACTTTACAAACTTTTTCTTCTCCAATTTCTTCATTCAAAACCAATTTTTTGTAAAGATTAGCTTTATTTTCAACATGTATTTCCAATTTTTCATTCTCATCTGTAACTTCTGTAAACTGTAAAGAAAGGAGATTTAAGTCTATTTTGAAATGTCGTTGTTAATAAACTCGATATAGGTGTTTAATTACCAAGAATCCGCCTTTCAATCGTATCATGTTGCTGTCTCACAAATTTTGCACCGATGATTCAGATTTCGGAACGGTTAAAAAAGAGTTGAATAAACATGCGAGAGTTTGATGAATTGAATTTAGACCAAGTACAAAGTAACGACTGAATATTGATGTATTTGTATTTTTATGATAATTTAAAAGAACTGAAAACAACGTCTGGGTATGACAAAATACAAAAATGCATAACGGATGATATTGATAATTCAATCAAGATCGATCAGAAGTACCATCATCATTAAATTGATTGATTTTCTCTAAATCTGGCTGAAATCCATTATTATTCGCATTTTGATCCTGCAATTGTTGTTGTTTTCTTTCCAATTGTTCAGGATGTTGACCTTCTTCACCTAAATTTTCTTCAGGTTTATAACTCTTCATACCTTTAACAGGGATTTTTTCAGATCTTCCATGTAATATATAACCAGGATAGAAAATTAATAAAATCAAACAAGTTAACGCCATCATTAAAGCATCTAAAATCATGAAATAAACTTCATGAACAATTAAAAATCCTGTCCAACCTTCAGCTAATTCCACAACTCTATAAATACAACGAACATAAACAAATAAAACCCCGATAAACACCACATATGGGAAGATTTTAAACATTCTTTCATCTCTAATATGTTTATAATCTGGATTGAATTGATCATCTAATTGTTTATGTTGAGTCTGATTTAAAAATCTAATCTTGTGGAAAAAATGTAGATATAAGAAAATATAAATCGACATTGAAAACACTTGAAATGCTAAACCTGCAACCATAACATGAGTCCCACTTTCTGTTGATTCATTTGCAGTTAATGAAGTAGCAGCTAACCCACCACCGGCAGCTTGAATAACTAAAGAAATAACATCACAAACAATGAAAATATATGAATACCACATTGGTTTCATTATTGCAAATTTCGTACCATAAATCATTATAAATTTTGCCAATATATAATAAATCCCACCCATTATAAAAGCAGGAGCAATAGTTAGACAAATAATTTGTAATAAGAACCAATCCAATACTGTATAATCTCCATTACTTAAAGTTCTACCAATATATCCAGCCATTTCTAATCCACAACCACAAAAGAAAGCAACACCAAACCACCATTGTTTAAACCAAATCCCTGATAGTGTGTGTAGGAAGAAAAAAATCCCAAAAATGACGGCTAATGCTAAATTCCCACCATATGAAGGAGTTAACCCACCATATAAATTACTTGATTGATGAATAACTTGTATTGTAGCTGAAGCTTGAGCCATTGCGGCACTAGCGGATTCCACCACTTGTGAAGCAGTTGCGGTTTGTAAGATATCTTGGTTTGAATAATAGGCAAAAGTTGCCTCTAATTGGGCTAGGGTTTTAGATTCCGGGTATAAAACATTTACTGCAGTTGCTGTGGATAGGACATTGTTTGCTGATAGTATTTTGGAGGATAGTGTTGAATAAAGGGCTTGATGAGACATGATGAATTGTCTACTTGTGTTGTGTTTTGGAATGGTAAAGTCTCATTGTAGATATTAATCCCATACAAGATTAAAATAAATCGAAGATCTTGAAGTGTATTTATAAGTGAGGTGTTCATGAAAAAAACTTTTTTGATGTAAGAGGGTTTAAGGTTATTGCCGGTAAAGACCGAGTCTACAATGGCTTATTAAGAAATTAATATTAGTGTATTAGTTGGTGAATATAAAACGAACATAAGCAGCGTTAGGACATGGGGAGCATAATAAATTAGGTGGTGGTATTAGATGGTGATAAATAGAGAGATTAAATAGATGTTGTTGTTGTTGTTGTTGTGATCATAACAATGGGATGTCCAGTCTTCTTTGACTCAAGATTGATCTATGCGATGAGTAATAGACGAAGGAGATGAAGGCAAACAAGTAGAAGATGGTAAAGTCCATGGTGTGGGTATTGGTGGATTAAACAATTAATATTGAATATGAATATCAAGATGAGCACAGTGTAGCTATATGAGCCGCTGTGTGACTGGAAAAGAATAAAGACGTTGATGGATCCTGGATGAGTTTATATAGGATGGCAGTTGATGGGAATGTAGGATCAAGTCAGCCAGTCACAATTTAAATCAGACGCTTGTAATTAGCTCAGGAAGGAATTAACGTGGATAATTAATTAGTTGATGTTGTTTCTTTGAGCTGTTTCTTCGGCTTTTACGCCTTTACACACAGCGGTTATGATAGGATACACAATACAATACAATACAATGGTTCTACAACATGAAGAGCATTGATTCCTTATAGCTAACCAGTCACAGAGACTTAATCATACTCTTTTCATCAAGGCGCTATTGTAAGCCATCGGTATTAACATTGTTATGATGTTAATTATCAAAGGCATTACAAATCATGTTGATGTTGGTGGAACCATCGGGTATTTACTGATCCCTGCCGTGTGTTCCATGGCTTTGGACAGCGCTGCTAGGACTCATCGGACCGGTACCACGTACACAGAAGAGACACTGGTGGTATAGCTCAATAATAACATTAATAGTAAATCTCAAGCTAGATCGTATCATTTCAACTGATGGTATTTCAATCTCATGATCTAGTTTAACCGTTGTTTTGAAAGACGTACTTTTTATTTTGTAGTGAAAAAATTGTGTAACGAGAAAATTCTGACACAATTTTTATTGTCATTAGTAAGACATTACATAAGTTACATTACGTAATTACTGATGTAATCATTTCCACTGAGGATAATTATTTCATAGCATTTCAATTCATAAATAAATGTTTTCTTTAAATAGTCTATATCTCATAAGTTATTATTATCAATTTTTATTAATAGTCAAATCCAAAAAACTAGCTATTGTCTTTGGTGGACCTCCAGTTGGACCTGAAATTGAAGAATTTGATGCATGATGATTTGTTGAAGTTTGATCATGATCATCACCTTTGAAAAAACAATAAGAATCTAATAATTCTTGATAAGATTTAGAGTTGATTGGTGGTTTTTTCTGTTTGTTTAGTTTGAAATTGTGGGTATTATTATGTTTTGGTAAAATATCTGATTCTTGGTTGTTATTATTATTAGTTGATGTTGTATAGTTCTTGTGAAGACTCAATTCATCCATTGGTGTTGTTATTTCATTATTTAATTCATTAGTTTCATTATTATTCTCATTAGTTTTTTTCAGTTCAAAATTAGGACTCATTTCTTCCTCATTGATCTCATTTTTTAAGATTTTTGGAGTTTCAGGAGATTTCAACACAGCTTCATAATTATTGAAATATGAATCAATCATATCATGATGATCTTCAATTGATTTTCCTGAACTTAATTGACCTGTGAAATAATCATTCAATATAAATTTATGACTTGATTTATTAAATCTTCTTGTTTTAGTTCTTTTGATTAAAATTTCATAGTTTTTATAATCATTATTATCCCAAACTTCATGTTCAACACCTCCTCCAACTTTGTTATTATCCAATTTATATCTATATCTAATACAAAAATTCAATTTGATTTCATCTTGTTGAGAAAATTGGAAATTCATCAAATTAATCTTGAATTTAAATCGATCATAATTTGATCTTTTCAATATCTTTGGAGCATCTTCAATATAAAAACTTTCAATCTCCACCACGGTTTTCCAATTATCAAAAGTATATCTAACATGAATTTTTTTTTCAAATGATAAATTTTTAACAGCAATTGAACCCAATATACAATATAAATCTTCATCAATTGAAATTCTCTCTAGAAAAATTAAACTCTTCAAACTTGATATCTTTTCGTTATATTTAATCTTTCCAAAATTAACAGTTTCTAAATCCCAAGTGATCTCATATTTCCCATCAAAATCAAACTCATCATCATCTGAATCACTATCACTATCATCAACACTATCATAATCATCAAATCCAAACCCAAATTTAAACTTCCCAGGCTTTGCACGGTTAGTAGCACCACTACCACGTCGTCTTCCTCTCCCTTTCAATATAGGTGACCCACTAGCACTAACCGCTGTTGGTTTATCCAATTCATTAAAATATCGTACATCAACATCTTGACCAAAATGAACACTTTTATTGAAAATTGGTGTAGTGGGCATAGATTTTGATAAACCTGCATTTTGTAAACAGTTTAATTTTAGATTTGATTTAACTAATTCACCTGATTTCTTTCTAATTAGTTTTGGTATTGATGTGATAGAATCTGTTGGTGAAGGTGTCTTGTTATCAATTGAAGAATCTGAATGTCTCTTCTTGTGAAGAAAGGATAATGATAGCGAATCAGTTCCATTTGGAGAACGGTTTATGACACTTGAAGTTGAGTTTTTCCTTGAGTGTGACATTTCATGATAGGTATTAAAATTATTTATTTATTATGATTAGATAGTTGAAATCCCTTTTCTCTTGTTAGCAATTGTGTGTTTTTTTGGGCTTGTACAGGTTTTTTTTCAAAACTTCTCAAAGGAGTCAAACAAGGGATTATTCGGTAAGGGGAAATTGAGTGGGATTGGGTTAATTTGGTGGAATAATAGATGGAATAATAGATGGAATAGTTGGAATATTTGGATGGTTTTATAGTGGGTATGTTGTTATTTAATTAGTTTAATTGGATTATTAATTAGTTGATATTTTATTGTGGTTATGAGCTGATGTAGGTACACTCGGTTAATTTGATGATGAGAGAATAGGTGATTAAATGAATGATCAATAGAATGGAATAGAGAAGAAGAGAATAGAATAATCATTTAATATTTAACTCATTTCTATCTTAATAAATAATTATAACACCATCTGATGATTGATCTTAATTAACTACTCCACGTTGGCTCAGCCATTCTCTCATCAGCCTTTTACTACTCGGAGATACTCTACAATTAAATCCAAATCAATCCTCAATTAATACACCAAACAATAGCCAAACAACAAGCAAATATAGCCAAACAACAAGCAAAAAATAACATAACAACAATCATTCCAAAGTATCAACATCAAAATTAACCATACGAACAACACCAGTATCATCTCCACTGGCAAAACTAGAATCTCCCAACCCAACACACGTAACTGGACTATTATGTCCTGCAAATGTATTCATACATTTACCACTTTGTAAATCCCATATCTTTGTAGAACGATCATGTGCCCCACTAACTATTCTAAAAGTATCAGCACTAATATCCCAGATCCCTTCAACATGTCCAAACTGGGTACGAATACATTTACCTGTTTTAACATTCCATAATTTAATAGTATTGTCTAATGAAGCTGATAAAATATAGGTTGGATATTGTCTTGTCTCATCTGAATAATCAATCTCTCCAAATTCTTCATTATCTTCTTCTTCTTCCTCATCTTCATCATCCTCATCTTTCTCATCATCTTCATCCTCTTTAACTAAATCATAATCTTCAGGTATATTCAATGGAATAACTTTTTGAACTTGCCCAATATGTCCTTTGAAAATCTTTAAACATTTATTCGTTTTCAAATCCCACATTCTAATAGTGGCATCATCAGATCCACTGAACACTGTTAAACTTTTAGAATGAATCTTGACACTATTAACACCTTCCAAATGTCCTCTTAATGCATAACATGTTCTAGTTTCAACATTCCAGATCTTTAACGTCTTATCCGCACTACCACTAACAATATATTTCTTGAAAAAATCAACACTCAACACTGAATCTGTATGTCCTCTATATGTGGAAATACACTGACCTGTATGATAATTCCAAACTTTTATAGTATGATCAAATGATCCTGTAATTAATTTTTGTTCATCAAATACAAGTGATTTAACACCTTTTGTATGAGATTCCAATGTTTTCAAAACTTCACCAGTATTTATATCCCATATTTTGATTGAACAATCATAAGAGCCTGTAAATAGATATTTATAATCATATTTCAACGTTAAAATCCCATCTTTATGACCTTTAAACTCTCTTGATTTGAATAAACCTTTTCTCCAATTTCTCTCCACTTTAAATCTTTCAGAATAAACAGTTTTCCAAGGTCTTGTCTTTACCTCTGGTGACCCCGTACTTGATGATGACAATTTCCTTTTTTTAGTCTTTGGTTCATGTTCAATCTTTATTTCACGAGCTCTTTTCATATGCATTAATGGTAAACCCCATCCACAATTTGGACATTTACGATCAATATGTTGTTCACACATATGATGCCAAACTCTATCATCATCTGCTAATTTTTGCCATTTTTTGGAAACTTGTGCAGCGTTACATAAAGAAGCACAATCTAAATAACAAAGAATTTTCAAACTAATTTCAAAAGGTAATGTACTTATGAAATCAATCCTTATTAATGATGAAATCTCTTGTGATATGAATGATAATTGTGGAAAACAACATTGTGTTAAAATCCCTTGTAATATTAAGTTTCTTTGAAATGTATTTGAATTACTAAAACTTGACCAAATTGAATTAATGAAATGTTGATGTTTTAATGGTAATTTCTCTAGGTTTTTTTGAATTTCATTCATTTTAATTGAATCTGATTGTTTATTACATTGAACATCTGGATTATGTCTATAACAATATTTATGATAATTATCACTTGGTATTAAATTTGTATTGGAGACAATATTCTCTGCTGAGTTAATTCCATCATTTGGTTCATCCGTTATGATAGCCTCATCATCATTAATAACATCTTGTTTCAATTCAGTGATATTACTACTCTTGTCATAATTAAACTTGTTGGGATTACAACTTTTTCTTAAATCCATCTTTGACTCCAGCTTCTTCCTCTTCCACAACTAACTCTTCAAATATTAAATCTGATGAATTTAAAACAGATGCAAAAGTGGCAAAGATGAACCTTTTTTATCTGAAACAACTATGGCGTAATGATTAAGAATTATATAAAGTTGTAGAATTTAACTGTGTTCAAAAAAAGGAAATTTAAAAAACCCACACAAGCCACAGTTGCGATGTCAGCAATTATGTAATCTCCGCTGAAAGCAAAAAAATCAAAACAAATCACAATTCAAAGCACAAGTTTGAAATTAAAGTGAAAGATTTCGAATTGTCAATGCTTAGGATCAATTATAATCAGTTCAAAGGGTATTGTGTACCGAAAGGAAGAGATAGTGGTGGTGGTCATGATTACTCAACCCAAGTGGTGACTAATGGGTTCAATTTCTTTAGTTGGGATAATGATGAATTACAACAATATTCAAAACCGAATCATCCTGGCTCTGAATATATAGATGATGAAGAGAGACAAGGAACTCCTGATTCCATTTATGAAGACGAACCAAAAATGCATATGAATCATGAAATGAATGAAGGAATTGTAAAAAGGAAACAAAGTGATGAAAGTTCAGAATCAAAGAAAAAATCTAAAAAGAAGGAAAAGGGTAAAAGAAGAAAGAAACAGAAAAACTCAGATTCTGATGATTTTTATATCCCTTCTGATGCTAATAAAATTAAAATCTTGAACTCATTGCATAAACAGATTTTACATTCAATTAGTGATCATACAATTAAAGATGATGAGAAAATCTTGCAATTTTTCGATATTTCAATATATAAAGAAGACCTAGACAATTTAAAAGATGATGAATGGTTAAATGATAATAATATTTCATTCATTTATGAATACTTAGAACGTTATCAATTGAATAATTTTGATAAATTGGTTTCAAATTCAATCATCTTATTAAGACCTTCAATGGTTTACCTATTGGCAAATCATCCATCTCCAAAAGAATTGAAAGGTGTCCTACCATCTTTAGAAACTTCAAAATTCATCTTTTTACCAGTCAATGATAATGATGATGTTGAAGATGCATGTGCTGGTTCTCATTGGTCATTAGTCGTTATCAGTTTATTGGACAAGACTGCATTGATTTATGACACTTTAGAAAGGGCTAATGAATCTGAAGCTAAACATGTCATTTCACAATTGGCAAAATATTTAGGTTTCAATTTCCAAATTAGAATTATTGAAAAGACTCCACAACAAATTAATGGAAGTGATTGTGGTATAATGGTTGGACAAATTACTGGTTTTTTATTATCAAGATTATTACATTTGAAATATTTAGAAGATCATTTCATTGATATGGATTTGAATAATGTTGAGATTTCTGCTATTGATGGAAGAATTTTCATCATGGGTACGTTGTTGAATTTGATTAAGCATAAACAAGCACAAGAATAAGTTACATACTTTAATGAATTTATGAGAGGCATAGTAAATTTAGACCAAAAGGTTTGGTAGAAGTTTTCTACTAGCCACAAACTGAGGCTCGAGACAAATTTGCAAATATTTCGCGAATGACGTGAGTCTCCGTCCATGGGTAGGGCATTTGTATGATCAAAATGGTTCTGATTAGAGGAAACTTGATGGGGGTGCTCTACCCTTTCTTTCTTTATAATTTCTTTCTTCCTTGTTTTCTTGTTCTAAAATATATAATATGTCAATGGTTAGCACATGTTGATGGTACTGATAATATCGGTTCGGTTCAGCTCTACAAAAATTGTGTCACAAAAAATCCATCAACCACACTAAAAACAGAAGTAAATCCGTTCTCAAAATGACACCATCGCAATGTCTAAAGATAAAGAAAAGAGAATGTGAAGGGGGAAGAGGGAAGAGAGAAAGATGATCAGACTCTTTAAATTCATAGTGTAGATGTGTAGATTCAAATTTGATATTGTGAAAAAGCCACCATGTTTGACGAATTTCTGGCCTTTCCAAGTGTTTACTACAGCTCAGGCTGGACGTAGCTGTCATACCATTCATATATTCTCATTGTATTCTCATAAGCAATCACATAAGCTGATTAATCATCCTTAAAATCTCATCAATTTGAATTCAACAATATCACCAAATTAATCTCCTTCTCTTTAATTGAACGATCATTTTTAATTGGTCTAACAATACTACTAATCTGTTCAATAATCATTCTTTTAATAACTCTCTCTTTAAACTCTCTCTCCATTCTCACCTCATCAACATCTTGTAAAAGTTCCACATATCTATTAAACCTTTCATTATCGATAATTCTACCAACTTGATCAAGATCCCAATCTTTGATTGCCCCATAAAGAGCATCCAATCTTTGCAAAATCTCTGCTGGATCTGTTCCAAATCTTTTAGAATAATCATAAATATCACTTAAATTCTCATATCCCAAGATTGGTTCATAATGACGAATACGAGAAGTTGAGTATTCTAATATTGGTGATTCTTCATCAAACGATAATTGATCTTTTAAGAATTGATGAAGAGTTGATACATCTTGTAGTGTTTCCACATATCTTGGTCTTGTAGATTTGATGAATAAATGATGTTGGATTGATGATATATTACTATCTGGGGAGGCGGTTATATATTGTTCTGTTCTAGTTGAATTGATTGGTTCTCCATCGACAATGGCCTCTTTGATGATGTGGAATTCTCCTTCTGTAGACATCTTGTATATGGTATCAAGCTGGAATATTGAGATAGTTCAAACTCATGGCGACAAATGTCAGTCTAGTGTACTTCAATTAACAAGGGGTTTTACAAAAACAAAACCCGTTTAAGCCTATACATGTTGGATTTCGCGAAACTCGCGAATAACAAGGCTGTCAATTTGGCGCCAACTTATAAACTGGTGGTATAATTGAGTTATTCTAGTGTATGATCATTGATCCTGTTAGATATCAGGATGCTTTGGGTTTCTGGTGCTTTATCTCTCGTTCAAATGTGTTGCAACTTGTTACCGATATTCAAAATGGCGTTCATGAATTTTTGTTAGTGCAAATGAAAATCTTTTTCCGTGACACCAGCTTCATCCACTGCACAGACTAAAATCAAGATCTGAGATCTGAGAAGTTGATATCGTGAAATGTTGATAATGCTAGTCAATCAAAAACTAATTCAATCACTATCAGTCTTTTCAAGTTGAATATCTTTTTGGTCTCTATTGTGTCGTAATCAACGAGAATGTACAACGTCTTAAACGGTGATCCATATTCTACCGTGGCCCATCGACTAACAGTTACAAGGAGTCAAAAAAACTGAGAAACCTTTGACAACAACAACCATCATCAACAACCATCATCAACAACCAAACTAACACACTTATCAATTGATTGATAAAACTGATAAGCTTTCCTCATCATGTCTAAAGTCGCTCTAATAACTGGTGCTGCTCAAGGTATTGGTAAATCAATTGCCCTACAATTAGCTAAAGATGGTTATAAAGTTGCAATTCTAGATCTACCAACTCAAGAACAACTAGGTCAAGAAGTTGTATCTTCAATTAATAAAATAGGTCAAGATTCTTTATTCATCCCAGGTGATGTTTGTTCAAGATCTGAAATTTTCAATGCTGTTGATAAAACTTTCAACAAATTTGGTGGGTTTAATACAATGATTAATAACGCAGGTATTGCCAAACTAGGTCCATTATTATCCATAACTCCAGAATCTTGGGAAAAAAGTTTACAAACAAATATATCAAGTACTCTATGGGGGATACAAGCCTCTGCAAAGAAATTTATTGAATTGAATCAACCAGGAAAGATTATTAATGCAGGATCGGTTGCATCTCATGAAGGATTTGTTAATTTGGGTATTTATTCAGTGACAAAACATGGAGTTAAATCATTAACACAAACTGCTGCTAAAGAATTAGCATCTCAAAAAATCACTGTTAATTCATATTGTCCTGGAATGATCCCTACAAATATGTGGGATTCTATTAATGAAATGACTGGTGATTATTCAGGAAGGGCAAAAGATGCATTGTTGAAAAGCTATACTCCCAAAATAGCAATGGGTAAAGTTGGTGATGCTCAAGATGTTGCTGATTTGGTTAGTTTTTTGGCATCTGAAAAATCTAATTATATTACAGGACAATCTTATGTTGTTGATGGTGGGTTAGTTTTCAATTGAGTTTAAGAAAAAGTGGTTTGAATATATGGTGTTGATGTTTGATTCTTTATAAAAGTAGTTGGTGGCGGGAAGCAGGTATTTGAAAGGATTTCAAAAGGTTTACCGGTGTTTTGGAGATAGGATGAAGATATTATCATTACCTTTAGTTATTTTTACCTTGAGCTACTTCAAACTGTGGTATGTCTATTGTTTAGTTAATGGGATATATAATACAAAACCCATTATTGTCTATTTCAATCTTTACAACTTCAACTTCTACACTGAATAATCAGGCAAAGACGGAGGAATTACTGAAAAAAGAGGAAACCGGTCTCTATACCAACTTTTCATTGACACCAAGCAAACACATTTACTCCAACTCAGGGCTGTATCGATAGATGTGGTGTCAATTGATCGAGTTAATTTAATTATTCACCAACAAGAATACGGTTGATATCGCGAATGGTTTATTTAACCATCTTCAGTGACAAACCAAGACCTACACACTTTAAATCTCAGAGAACTTGTACATCTCCACCTTAACCATTGCTAGATCCAAATATCTCAACTGAGAAATAAGGTCGAACGGTACTTCTACTTTGACAGTGATATGCAGTGTAGCACGAGGAGGTTGTTAGTTGTAATTGTAGTACTTTGAAGGTTTTAGTACAATTACTTGAAACAGTTTCAATAGCCTTTACACAGTCAAAGTTTTTTCGGACTGCGATTTGAGATACATAATACTGTTGAGTTTAGGTTTGATTGAGACAGATGGTGGAGCCTATTATAACGACGGTGACGGTGATTGAAGGGTTCTAGAAGGAACAGTGGTGATGGGTAGTTAGATAACGAGATGATCTTATGACTATTGTTCTGGGGTGGTAAGTGCTAAGATCTGGGGTTGTATACGGTGGTGACTACTACTATGACTATGTTGAATCATATGGATAATCTTGAATCATCAAACAAACCCACAGCAAAACCATGTCCTCTAATCTCCAGAGCATTGCAAAAGGTTTATTCAACCAGCCAATCACAGGAGAACCGATCTCGTTCTGGAGGGACCTGGGCACACAGAATCCCCGAACAAACAGATGATGAATAGGCCAAGAGAAGGGCTTCAATCAGCTCACAACTAGTTGAATGTAACCATAATATCAAGCTGTTCATTTAATCCAGCCTGTTTCTTCCGTGAAGCACTCAAATGTATCCCCGCAAAATAATAACGAAACAAATTTCCGCCTTTAAGCGCCAGGTGAGGCTATCAATACCAAGAAAGGCTCGAACAAGATATTTCTACACCTAACAAGAGTTCCACAATAGTGCTTGTAGTGGTGATATTATCTTGGTGTGTGCAAAGATCCAGAAGCTTGTGTGCGACCTATGTACTATTGTGTTTTATAGTGAGATCTGGAGTGTATTTGAGCTCTATAAAGCGTATTGGAAAGGGTCCTTTCAAGGGTCCTTTGAAGGGTCCTCGATGGGCTTATAGTCAATGCCTCCACCTCGAAATCCGCAAGCTGCACTTCTTTAGGCCATGATGCTGATCGACACAACCACTTCATCTACAATTAATTCCTGCTCATCTTTCAACTCAATTTAATTGGAGAGAAGCAATCCCAACAGCTTCACCCTCTTCAACTGGCAATACGAGAATCTCCGTATACACAACAACCATTAATTGTCTCGTTTTTAGTCATGATGCAATATGGGGAAATAGCATATTGATGGTGATGAAACAATCTGTTTTAAGTAAACTTAACCTTTTGTGCCTCTGTCGTTGGGTGCCTGGCTTTAATCATTCTTTTCATCATGTTCCAAAAGCCATATATAAACACACTTTTGCTCCCCCAGATTATCATAATGAAGTTTGAATCAGACTAGAGAATCTGAAACACACGCACAAACAATCATGACTGCAGCAGTTGTTCATCCAAAACAATCACTTAGAAAAAAATTCTTTAATAAAGATAATTCACCACCAGAAATCTTTAATAGAACCTTATACATTTCTGTTTTCATCTTTGGTATCTTGGGTTGTGCAAGAGGTTTAGATGAAGGTGGCATTAGTGGGTCCGTTGCTCAAAAATCTTTTAAACATCAATTTGGTCTTGATGATGAATCCAAAACTGAACATTATCTAGCAAATTTGAAGTCAAATATCACTTCGATGGTCCAACTAGGTTCTATTGGTGGTTGTTTGATGGCCTTATACTTTGTTGATAAATTTGGTCGTATTAGAACTTTACAAGGTGTTTGTGTCTTTTGGATTGCTTCTGTTATTATTCAAATCACTGCAAAAGATGTTGGTCAATTATATGCTGGAAGATTGATTGAAGGTTTATCTATTGGTCAAACTGTTGTTCTTGGTCCAACCTATCTTTCTGAAATTGCTCCAAAGGCTATCAGAGGGTTATGTAACTGTGTCTTTGCCGGTGCTGTTTATTTTGGTATCATGATGTCTTATTTTTCTCATTACGGTACAGCTTTACATGTTTCAGCCAGTTCAAGAGTTCAATGGGTTGCTCCAACTTCTTTGAAAATCATATTTGCAGGTATCTTATTTATTGGTTCTTGGTTCTGTAAAGAATCTCCACGTTGGTTGATGAAAAAAAATAGAGTTGATCAAGCTTATAGAAATTTATCCAAAATTAGAAATTTACCAGAAGATCATCCTTATATCTTGAGTGAAATTAATGATATCCAAGAACATATGAAACATGAAAAGGAAGTTATGCAAGATACTTCTGTCTTAGGTTTATTCAAAGAATTCATCACAGTTCCTTCAGTTAGATATAGATTATTCTTGGGTCTTGGTATTCAAATCTTGGGTCAATGGTCAGGTGCAAATGCAATCACAATTTATATGCCAGAATTGACTGCATTGGTTGGTTATACCGGTACTAAAAAATTATTAATGACTGCTATTTTAGGTGTTGTTAAATTCACTTCAGCTTATTTAACTGCTTTCTTCCTAATTGATTTCTTGGGGAGAAGAAAATGTTTATACATTGGATTAACTGTTCAATGTTTATCAACTTTATATTTTGCAGTCTTCATCACCGTGGTGCCAAAAGTTTCAAATGATGAATTCACAATGACATCTTCAGAAAAACATGCAGGTGTTTGTGCTTTAGCAATGTTGTACTTAAATGGTGTTGGTTGGACAATGGGTTGGAATTCTATTCAATATTTGATTAACTCAGAGATGTTCAATTTGAGACATAGAGCTATTGGTACTGCTTTAATCATGACTTTCCATTTTGCAAACCAATTTGGTAACACTAAAGCTGTTCCATCAATGATGATTGCAATGCATCATGGTGGTACTTTCTTCTTCTTCTTTGGTGTCATCATCATTGGTATGTTTTTCTGTTGGTTCTTTGTTCCAGAGATTAGTGGTCGTTCCATTGAAGGTATGGAGGAATTATTTGAATTACCTTGGTATCTTATTGGTAGAAAAGGTAGCAAATTGGCTCCTGATCATTCTGCTGTTACTCAAGTTCATTTCGATGAAACTGGTCATGGTAATGCAATGGGTGGTGATATCGAAGTCAAACAAGATGATGAGTTTGTTGAAAATGTTAACAGTAGTGATAATGGATTGATGAAGAATGCTCAGACTAATAATACAACTACTGATGTTTCAACTGAAAATGGTTCAAACATTGATTTGGAGAAACAGCAACGTGCTTGATTTATATTATTGACTAACTGGTGGGTTCCAGGCTGGCCTGAATCCTTTGTGATTATCACTTTATTTATTTATATTTATGGCTATAGTTTGGTTTTTGGAATTGATACTTGATATTTTGAAAACAGGTGTAGAAAATTTCAGAATGCCCGATGGAAATGACAGACGGGATGAAGAATCAATTCGCGAACTTGTCTTCAATAACTAGCTTCGGCCTTGATTAATTCTACATCTCACTTGCAACAAGTCTTTATAATCTCTATTCTATGAATCAATTATATTCCGTCACTTTATACACGACAATTTGAAATTTCAAACAATAAGATATCAGAAGCACCACCTGCTTTTAATTTATCCATAATTTCACCTTTTTTATTCTTTTCAATCATTGATGAAATTGCAACCCAACCTTCATCATCTAATGGTGAAACTGTAGCAGCACGACGACCTGGTGTAATTGATAATAAAGCATCCAAGTTATTTCTTGGTGCATTATAATTACATAAAATGTATTTTTGTGCAGCTAAAACACCTTCAATTCTATTTTTGATAGTTTTAACTAATTCTGGATGTGATGGATTTTTGGATTCAATTAAATAAGCTGAAGTTGATAAAACTGTATCGATATCAATTAAACCTGCAGCTCTCATGGTTTCACCACTTTCAACTAAATCCACAATAGCATCTGCAACACCCAATGCACAAGAAGCTTCAACTGAACCACCAACAAATTTGATTTTAGTTTTCAAAGGTTCACCTGGTTTAACACCTTCTAATTTTTCAAAATATTTTCTTGTTAAAGTTGTAAATGATGAAACAATAGTTTTACCAATTAATTGTTTTGGATCTTTAATTGGACCATCTTGTGGTACTTGAACTTGTAATCTACATTTACCAAATGTTAAGTCCAATGCTAATTCAACATCAACTTCTGATTCTTCAACTTGATCAACACCTGTGATACCTAATGAACAACGACCTTCACCAACAAAAGTTGGAATATCTGCAGCTGGTAAGAAAATCAAGGCAATTGGTAGGTTTGTAGATAAGGCAATATCTAATCTGTTATAACGATGGAACTCAATATCTGAACCTTTTAATAATTGAATAGCTTTTTCATAAAGACGACCCTCTAGAGAAAAAATCTTGTTAGTAAAGAGATCTTGGGTATTATATGTAAGGACATACTCTTTGGGACAGCGAATAATAATCTATCAGTCAAGTGATTAACTAAATCCATCTTGGTTTTTCAAATCTTTGTTTTAATATAAACACAATTGTAACAGTTGTAGTTAAACTTGACACAACATGTGGTTTACTCACAAAAAAATCTCGAAGCATTGATGCACTGTTATCTGACTCAACGCAACAGGCCCGAAAAAAAAAAATGAGATAATCCGAGGACCGTCGGCATAATTTCACATGACATACCCTCGTAACAGAGCTTTTTCGCGTTTTTTACCCGCAAACGACGCAATCTGAGTTTCGCGAATGTTTTCCAAGTGTGTACATATAGAAATTTTTTTTCACCACTACTAGAGGGTATAAGTTGTTTACACGAATCTATCGTTTAAATCGCATATAATATATTTGAAATGGATACTAAAACTGTTGTCACTTTAGCTAGAGTTAAAAAAGTTCTTGGTCGTACCGGTTCTCGTGGTGGTGTTACCCAAGTCAGAGTTGAATTCATTGATGATTCTTCAAGAACAATTGTTAGAAATGTTAAAGGTCCAGTTCGTGAAAATGATATCTTATCATTAATGGAATCTGAACGTGAAGCTCGTCGTTTACGTTAGAGACGTTTCATATCTGTTTTTTGGAAGTTTATGTTATCTCATTTAGGTGGTGGTCAACGTTTTATATATTTATGCTTTAGTTTTTGATCATATCAACTACATGAGAAGGAAGTTTTGGTGATACGATGGTTTAATATTACTAAAACTGAAGTTAAAAGCTGTTATTTTATTGTGTTTTATGGGTTATTTAATGTTTTTTTTTTCAACAATTGGTCATATATAATTAATTTTACTATGCATTATCAAAAATGAATTTTTGGACACTGAGGTTACACAACGTAGTTCATATCATAATAAATGTAATACGTTAATTGAAAATTATATAATGTTTTTCCCAATATAACAGTTCTTTAAACTTAATTGGTATTTGGTAAAGGAAATCTGAATATGTTTCAGCAAGAATAATACAAAAACAAACAAAAAAGAGTCAAACAAACGCCTTTAAAGAATGGATGAAACCAAAAAAAGAACAAACAAAGAGCTAAGAATTAATATATAAATCAATTAAAAAGTCAATATCTGATGATGAATATTAAAAAAAGATTAAAAAAATTAAATAGGTGTTAGAACTGAAAGAATAATAAAATAAAGGTCAATTAAAGAAGAAAGAATGAACATATCATCATCAGAAATGGGTTCTGCCTAAAAAAACTCTATCAAATAAAAACAAAAAATCATCACATAAACTCCAAATAGTATTAAATATTCAAACTTCAATAAATCTTTAGTCTATTCTTGTCCTTCAGTCATCTTTTCATCATTTTGTGATTTACTTTGTTCCCTTTTCCAAAATTTCAATAACAAATCAGCATATCTTTGTAATTCTTCAATTTGTATCATCAATCTAAAATCAGTCAATAATAAAAATTGTAATTCTAAATGGTTCAATTCATCTAATGGTAACCCACCAACTTTTGCATATCTCGAATTCTTGTAGAAAATATCACTAAAGAATTTAGAAGCAACTGTAACACCTGCGATTATCAATCTATGAATATTATAACTATCCATAACAAACAATTGTTGATCATCTGAGCCAGCATTTGAGGTTCCAGCAGTATTACCTTCCCCTTGTTGTTGTTGTTTGTTTTGGTCAAAATCTCCAGCATTTGCCCGTTTAGCAATTCTATCAAAATAAACTAACAGTGTTAAAAACACTTCATTTGTAACTGGACAATATTTCAAGATTCTTGTTAGGTATGCATGTAATGATATAGCTGGTACGTTTCTTCCATGGAATGCTAAGACATTAGCAGTGAATTTATGGGAATTGTGTAATTGAGATGCTTGATGATAATGATGTGGATGTAAGTTATCATTGGCTTCCACAATTTTCTGTAACAACGCACTAAGCATCAATAATAAATCATCAACTGGATGGTTCACTATATCTAGATGGTTTTCATTATTGATTGGTAAATAAGTTGGAGGTTCCGATTCAGATAATGATGATGAAAACATTGGTTCTGAATATTGTGGAGGTTCATCATCATCCTCATTCAGGTTATGGGTATGCTGCGGTATTTCAGTAGTTGCAGTGGATGATCTTGTTGTTGCAGATGGTATTGGTCTTGAGAATTCATTAGGTAATGCTGATTCTGTACTAACATTCGTTGTTGGAATTGAAGCACCTGGCTGAGGGAAATTATGAAAAGAAGTTGAAGGATTGAAATGACTAGGTACAGAATTTGGAGCTGATGAATTATATGATGAAGATACAACACTTGGAGTATTATGGAAAGGTGTAAATGAATTAACAACTTCTGAATGTTTGAAATGTTGGGAAGTCGAAGGCTGTTGAATATTGATACTTGAAGATCTATTGGGGAAGCTAAAGCTTGTAGTTGGATCATGATTGAAAGACGATGAAAATGATGAAGATGGGTTATGATGATTTGTTGATGATTTCAAAAATGAGTTTCTAAAACTTGCCGTTTTCGGGTTTGGATAGGGATAACTTGGTGAATCATGAGGTATATGTTGTTGCTGTTGCTGTTGTTGTTGTTGTACTGAAGCTAGTTGATGGGTAGATGATGATGAAGTAGCAGCTAGTTTTGAAGTTAGCAAACTTGGACGATTTAACGAAGTTGATGAAGTTGAATGTGTCACATTATTCCGAAGAAATGCACTGTTATTGACCGAATCACTCATTGAACCTCTATTATTGGCATTATAATAGAAAGATGGTGGATCCGCTCTTGGACTGAAGTTACCACCTGGGGAAGATGAATTGAATGGGTTTCTCAAGTTTGAAATGTTGTTTGAGATGCTATTATTATTATTGTTATTACTACCTGAGACAGTCTGTTGTGGGTTATTTACAATCTGTGAACTTGTTGAATTGACTGAGCTTGAGAATTGTAGTTCATTAGGGGATTGTTTGAATGATCTAGCAGTATGATAAGATTCAGGCAAGTTGTAAGTGCCTGTGCTGGGCTTGTGATTGATGTTGTTTTCAGGTTGAGGGATGACTATGGGTTGACTTGAATCGCTCTCAAGCTGTATTGAATCTTGATTCTGTTGATTGGAAGTTAGAACCTGTTTAAGACCAGCTGGCTGGGATAATACTCACTTGCATCAGAAGGGGGCTTTGGACCAAGTGCTGTTGTTGGTGGTGGTGTTGGTGATTGCTTGAGGCTGTTTGTTCTCGTTGTTTGATGCTACGAGTAATTTCAAACGTGTGATGGAGCCTATACTACCCATGAGCAGAGCAGCGCGCTCAGCTTACACAGCTGGGAATTACTGGCGTCGCGGACGCTGCTAGGCGACCCCTGAGGGTAACCCCCCTGCTTGTGGCGGCCAGGGCCCAGTCCACAACTGATCGGCCTGTCTGTCTGGCAAGAACCGTGGGCAGAGAACTAGGCAGAAGTGAATTGTCCCTTTGGAAGGGAAAGTACAGATTATATCTTGATGTTTGTGCTAGCCATTTGGACCCAGTGCCAAATCTTCGCTTACACGCAGGCTGCCTATATTTCTGAGCCAACCGAGTTCTCGGTGAATCATGATTCATCAGATGAGAAGAGTAAAGAGGCTCCCTGTGCGTGCGTGTACCGTACCCTTTTTCTACCGCGAATTATCGAGCTGGGATTTTTAAGCTGAGCCAAAAGCGTAAAAGGTTGATATTATAATACACAACATCTAAATATTCCACTTCAAGATGTCCAGAGCTAGTAAGATCACTTTAGCAACTACCATAGTAGCCACCACTGTCACTGTTATATGGGTGCATAAAGTCCAAGAAGAAGAAAGAAATGTAAGTATTGACAAGAAGAAAGAATCATCATGAACTCAAAGTAATAACCAATTCAAAAGGCTCTACATCAAGGTCCTATAAAAGATGCCCAAAGAGTGCAGGAGAAAGCATTAAAGAAGAAACTATTGGCAAATCAAAAAGAACATGAACTACAACAAGAACTACGGAAGAAATATGAACAATTACAGCCATTGAGTGGTGTAACTCATACAGCAGAGGAACCGATTAAAAAGGATTGAAAGCTTACACCATAATCTATTCAAAATATTCATGTATATAATATCATCAACATGGCATCTTAAAACAGAACTGTCATAACTAATGAACATAATGGAAACTTCTAAAACGTCTTCTACGTTGTAGAGAAGAGTCCCGACCAGACCAGAGTCCAGCACCCGAGTCTGGGTCCAAGTCAATCCTCAGGACTCTGTTCAGAAGCCTAGGACTTAAGTTGAACGGGAAAATCTGACTGATACCACATTAACAAAAACCATCCCCTTAACTGGCAATCTATTTAAGCTTATCCAATTCCCTCGAATTCACTAAATGTCATTTATCCAAACTGCTACCCGTGCTGCTAGATTACAATCAAAAGTCTTCACAATGTCTGCTAGAAACTTAACCACAATCACTCCAGTATGTAACAGTTAGGTACTTATCAATTGATCTATAGTATTGATTTAATCTCTATTATTGATTCAATTCATTCCAATCAAATACTAACTTTTCATTTAGGTTGCCACTAAAAATGCCCCACCAGCAGCTGCCTCATATTCTCAAGCTATAAAAGCTAATAGTGAGTGTTTTTCACCTCACCATGGTGTTAAGCTACATTTGTAACTTTACATGAAAAAGATCTAGTTACTAACACAATTGATTCAAATTAGACTTTATCTATGTTTCAGGTCAAGTTCCATTAACCCCAGAAGGTACAAAAGTTGAAGGTACAATCGCTGATAGAGCTGAACAATGTCTACAAAATGTTAAAAACATTTTAGAAGAAGCTGGTAGTGGTTTAGACAGAACTGTTAAAAGTGAGTAATGGTATTTAAGGAAAAAAGATGAAACAGTATACTGATACTAACCAATTTCTCTTTAGTTAACGTTTTCTTAACTGATATCAATGACTTTGCTGAATTCAACAAAGTTTATGCTAAACATTTCAACACCCATAAACCAGCTAGATCCTGTGTTGCTGTCAAATCATTACCATTAGGTGTTGATGTAAGTATAACTAAGACGAATGATAAGTTGAACCTAAGTACTAACTTGCAAACCAGGTTGAAATTGAAGCTATTGCTGTTGAAAACTAAACCTTGTGAGTGTATTTTTTCAATTTCTGGTAAATGTAATGCCTATGATCACAAAATCCAAAAGTTTTTATTGAATCACTTCATATTGTAGATGCTAGCTGTAAAGATTTGAGAAAGGTGTTTTCAACTCTTCTCTACTCTATATATTTATTCGTATTTGTGTACAGAATCGAGAAATATTGAACTTTTTGTGCTTTTGTGTCAAGCCAAAAATTCATCTTCATCTATCTTGTACAAATTCGGCTTGCCCTGAGTGAAACCTCACGTGATACCATCTAGGGTACACATTCGCGAAAATACTCCCAATTGTTAGCTTTTCTTGGTATGCCCAACATAAAACTTGGTTTTGTATGTCTTTCGCGCTGAAAAATTCATAAACATCCCAACACCTGTCGCTGATTCTCACCACCTCGCAAAGTTTTCAAAGAATTTCAATAGTGTACAATAATAACAAAACTTGATTAAGACATAGTTTAGATACCTTCTTACGACCGTTAAAACATTCACAAAATGGCTCAAAGAGTTACCTACAGAAGAAGAAATCCATGTATGTGTCAAAGCAAATCAAATGAACTAGGGGAAGTTGTGTTTCAAAGAGAATGAATTCGTCAATCAAGAGATATCATCAAAAAAGAGAATACATTAAAGATACAAGATCAACTATTGAAGAAAATCATCAATATCAAGGGAATACGTAGGGATCAATGAAAGAAAGAGAATAGACCTCGTAGTTTTATGGTCTGGAAAGGGATATCATCTAGAATGAGAGAAGTGTGATTTTGTATGAACAAAGAGAATCCATGCAGAAATATTAATGTAACCATCAAGCAGTGAAGCTACAATAGCAATGAATCAATAAATCAATGACCAGCAGGATACTTAGAGTAATTCAAAAAGGAATAAGTCTGAGAGAAACAACACCCCCATAGTTATCATTTTACATCAAATCTATAAAATCAGAAATACTAACATAAACCTTCTAGACAACACCCGTTCTAACAAAATCAAAGTTGTTAAAACCCCAGGTGGTGTTTTACGTGCTCAACACGTTAAAAAATCTGGTACCAGACCAAAATGTGGTGACTGTGGTATTGCTTTAGCCGGTATCTCAGCTTTACGTCCAAGAGAATACGCTCAAGTTTCAAAAACTCACAAAACTGTCTCAAGAGCTTACGGTGGTTCAAGATGTGCTAACTGTGTTAAAGAAAGAGTTGTTAGAGCTTTCTTGATTGAAGAACAAAAAATCGTTAAACGTGTCTTAAAAGAACAAGCTGAAAAAGAACAAAAAGCTGAAAAGAAAGCTTCAAAATCTAAAAAATAGATGAATGGGGTTGTAAAGGTATAAATTAATAATACAATTTTGTTACGTTATTTTTTTGAAGAATTAATCATTTCAAGATCAGTTGTAATTCAGGTTAAAATAGGGAATTTGTCGAGGAGACTAAGTTGAAAGGTCAATAGACCAATTCTCTTGATCTATACTACACTTTTATTCCATTTGTACCTTATTTTGTAACACAATTGATTACTCTCTGACTTTGATTTTAATAGTTTTGGAGAATGTGGCCCTCTGCAACTTTCGCGAACTTTTTTTAGAATCCAATTTTCTGAAACCATGATTAAGGTTGTTAAATTGAAGGCACTTTTGTAACAGCCTGAAATCAATCCATCAAATTATCCAAACAACTATTCATCACGTCAGTGAATTGCATTACAAGATATACCATATCTCACTTTGCAAGCGCCAACTACCAAAGTCAAGTCACAATTGGAAGAAAGACAATAGAGGACACTTAGACGCTGCTAAACGGGTATATTGACACATCATTTTGATCAAGACATAAATCAAGAACAAGATCATAATACGTCTGTCTCAATTTTGCTTCAGAGAATTCAATCAGTAGTGGCGGTTTCTTTCATAGAGACCAATACACCTTGTCATCATTCAATCACTTCCCACATTCTACCCCTTTTTAGTTTTTTTTTGTCAAGAGTAAATGCCTTTAACTGATTCCAATAATACTCAAAACCATTCAAATCATCGACAAGATAGCTTCTCTTCATTTGATGAACAATTTGATGACTCTTTAGATGCAGCATTGGCCAACTTAGAAGCAAATCCTTTTTTAAACAATTCAAGTCATAGTTTACATTCTTCAAGCAATAATAATATCCCTTTACAAAATATGGCTAATTCAAATCAACACAAAGACTCCATGGATGATTTACTTCATGTTGATAATGCACCACTGATAACTGATTCCTCAAAATCAAAGCATGGGGCCAAGAGCACATGGTCAAACGGGTTGAAAAAGTTGTTTAAATCCAAAGATAGTGCATCATCAGTACAACTGACAGATGAACATACTGAACGAGAAGTTTATCCAGGAGTACCCAAACAAAGCTTCCCAAACAATGCTATATCAAATGCCAAATATAATCCAATAACATTCATTCCAATCATCTTATATGAACAATTCAAGTTTTTCTTCAATTTATATTTCCTTCTAGTTGCATTATCACAAGCTATACCGGCTTTAAGAATAGGTTATTTATCTTCATATGTGGTCCCATTAGCGTTTGTGCTTATCGTCACAATGTCTAAAGAAGCGCTTGATGATATCCAAAGAAGGAGAAGAGACACAGAGGCAAATGGTGAGATGTATGAAGTTATTGGACAAACCAAATTGGTCCCAAGTAGAAATTTAGCTGTTGGTGATTTAGTCAAATTGCATAAGGATAAAAGAATCCCAGCAGATATGATATTATTACAATCAAGTGAGGCATCTGGTGAATCATTCATCAAGACTGATCAATTAGATGGTGAAACTGACTGGAAATTAAGAATAGCTACACCATTAACTCAAAATTTATCATTAGATGACTTGAAAAACATCAGTATAACTGCATCCGCGCCTGAGAAATCAATTCATTCATTTCTTGGTAGATTATCATATGATAATCAAACAACAGGTCTTACAATTGATAATACACTTTGGGCAAATACAGTCCTTGCATCTGGTACTGCAATCGGTTGTATTATTTACACTGGTACTGATACAAGACAAGCTATGAACATGACAAAATCTGGTGTGAAAACCGGATTACTTGAGCTGGAAATCAACAGAGTCTCTAAAATATTGTGTATTTGTGTTTTCGTTTTATCATTTGGGTTGGTTTCAATTCATGGGTTTGGCTCTAAATGGTATGTTGATGTTATGAGATTTTTGATTTTATTTTCCACAATTATTCCAGTTTCTTTGAGAGTTAACTTGGATTTGGCTAAATCCGTTTATGCTTATCAAATTGAACATGATCATGAAATTGAAGACACTATTGTTAGAACAAGTACCATTCCAGAAGATTTAGGAAGAATTGAATATTTGTTATCTGATAAAACAGGTACTTTAACACAAAATGATATGGAGTTGAAAAAATTACATCTTGGAACTGTTTCTTATGCTGGTGATACTATGGACATTGTTGCAGATTACGTGAAGGACATTGATGGTAAAAATATCATCGCCACAAATAAAAGAGATTTAGGTACAAGAGTTCGTGATTTGATATCAACTTTGGCTATCTGTCATAATGTTACACCAACAATTGAAGATGGTGAAATCACTTACCAAGCTGCTTCACCAGATGAAATCGCAATTGTTAAATTCACTGAACAAGTTGGATTATCATTATTTAAAAGAGATCGTCATAAAATCACCTTGGCACATGAAGGTTCACATGAAAATTTATCATATGATATTTTACAAGTTTTCCCATTCAACTCGGATACAAAGAGAATGGGTATTGTTATTCGTGATTTGAAGAAAGATGAATTATGGTTTTTAGAGAAAGGTGCTGATACTGTCATGACCAAAATTGTCCAAAGTAATGATTGGCTAGAAGAAGAAACTAGTAATATGGCCAGAGAAGGTTTACGGACTTTGGTGATTGGAAGAAAAAAATTAACAACCAAACTGTATGAAACTTTCAAAGAGAAATATGAGGAGGCATCTTCTTCAATGGTTAATAGAGACGCGGAAATGCAAAAGGTGTTACTCCAGTATTTAGAGCATGACTTGGAGTTATTAGGTTTGACAGGTGTTGAGGATAAATTACAAAAAAACGTTAAATCATCGATTGAACTTTTGAGAAATGCTGGTATCAAAATATGGATGTTGACTGGTGATAAAGTTGAAACTGCTCGCTGTGTTTCAGTTAGTGCAAGGTTAATCTCTAGAGGTCAGTATGTCCATACAGTTACAAAAATGACCAAGGTTGAAGGAGCAATGAACTCTTTGGAGTACTTGAGAGTCAACAACAATTCGTGTCTTTTGATTGATGGGGAATCTTTGGGTCTTTACCTGAGACATTATAGAAAGGAGTTTTTTGATATTGTTGTCCAATTACCTTGTGTCATTGCATGTCGTTGTACACCTCAACAAAAGGCAGATGTTGCTGTTCTGATTAGAGAAATCACACATAAAAGAGTATGCTGTATTGGTGATGGTGGTAATGATGTTAGTATGATTCAATGTGCCGATGTAGGTGTCGGTATTGTTGGTAAAGAAGGTAAGCAAGCTTCTTTAGCTGCTGATTTTTCAATCACTCAATTTTGCCACTTGACAACACTACTATTGTGGCATGGCAGAAACAGTTATAAAAGATCTGCAAAATTAGGACAGTTTGTTATACATAGAGGTTTATTGATTTCAGTTGCTCAAGCCGTTTTTTCAATTACATCTGCATATGAACCAATTGCATTGATTACAGGATTTTTAATGGTTGGTTATGCCACATGCTATACAATGATGCCTGTTTTTGCACTTGTTTTTGATTATGATGTCAACAAGGAGGTTTGCTTTGTGTTTCCAGAGTTGTATCATGAGCTCACCTCTGGTAAATCTTTGAGTTACGTTACTTTTTTTGTTTGGTGCGCGGTTTCATTGTTTCAAGGAAGTGTTATTCAATTGTTTGCACAAGCATTTACTAGTATTAATGAAGTCGATTTCACAAAAATGGTTGCTTTGTCGTTTTCTGGTTTGGTTTTGAATGAACTGGCCATGGTTGGGATTGAAATTCACACATGGAGTAAGATATTAATATTTTCAGAAGTTGCAACATTATTACTTTACGTTGGGTCAGTTCCATTCTTATCTGAATACTTTGATTTACCCTTCATGAGCACTTTAAAATTCTACTGGCAATTAGCAGTTATATTATCTGTTTCCGTTGTTCCAATTTGGTTATCCAAGGTTGTTTATAAGAAGATATATCCACCAAATTATGCCAAGGTTCAAGGTTATTAGTTTTAAGTGTTTAGCGGCTTTATCAGTATGATTGTTTTTCAGATGGATTATTTATTAGTTATGTAATGTATATGAATATTAATTATTCAAATATGCAATAGAATCTTCACCATCACTGTTCTCGTCATCTGAACTACCGTTATCATCTGGGCTCTCTTCTGGCTTAGGTTTACGACGTTGAAAATCTTTTGCATGAGCATTAACGATAGCCTTGGAAACATTTTGTAAAACACCAGGACTCAAAATTGATTCTCTTCTTGATCTCAGAGTTGCTGGGGTTTGTTGAGCTTCTTGAGGTCCAATACTTTCATATCCAACATTTGCCTCATGATCTTCTGCTCTTGTTTGGTCCTCAGAATATCTCACGCTTGGACGTCTAGCCAATTGATAAGGAAGTGGAACTTCTCTTGATGCTCTATAAAGATGTCTGTTTGTAACATGTTCATTCTCCATTCTAATGAGAAGCCAAATGAATCTTCTCAAAATCTCGGCAACCGCAATACAAAAACTGGTGACCGCAGACTGTTGAATCTGTCTGCTGAAAAGAGCATAAAAGATCCATTGAAATCTTAAAATAACATCAAACACCATGGAGAAATAATAAAACCATTTTGGATACATTAAATCATTTCTTAAGAGATATTTGTCTTGAAATAATGAAAAATCCATAAATAAATCCCAGAATGCACTGTAAACAGAATTAACAATTGCAAAAAATATAAAAGCAGCCCTATTTTGAAGTGTTCTATCAATTCTGTAAACACTCAAAAGCATATAATACAACACGGTGATAAAATATTTGACCATGTTTGCTAAATGTGGAAACCAATCACCAGAGTCAAAATAACGTCTTAAACATTGAAGGAATCTCCAAATTGGTGGTAATGTTGCAAAGAACCCCATCAATCTTGATTTTGAAGAACCACATTTTGGATCACCTCCTTCTAATGCACCGCTCCAATGTGTAGCATACATACAAAAGAAAAATGAAATGTTTCCCATTGTGTATGTCAAACTGCAAAAAATATCACCAATAAAGAAATCTCTAAACTCGACTGGATAAAGCCCAGATAAAACCAATCTCCAAACAGTAACTATCAGCCATTTTCTTGATTCATGAAAGAACACATCAAATGGTAAAATGAGCACAACACCACCAAACCCAAAAAAGAACCATGGCCAATATCTTGCTGGTAATTTATCAGGCCAAAAATCATTAAAACTAAACCACATGAAGATTGAAAATAGGAAAAGTAATAAGGAAGGAAGGAAAACATATTGTCTGTAGTCTAGAGCTGACCTTGGATTGAACTCAAAAATGAATCTATAATTCACTTTATACTTTGTCCAGATATAACAATTGACACCAAATAATATGGCAATTAATATAGCTAGGAAAAAACCTGCCCAGATCTGAAGTAAATGTTTGCCTTCTGGTATTTCCTGGTCCAACGTTTTACTCAATCCCAAGTATAGAGCATATGTTGATAACGGAACTGAAATACCGAGCAAGATCCCAGATAAAAACATTGATGAATAAAATTGATCTTCATTCATATTTGATCTAAGTTTTTCAATAGCCACTTTTCTGTTCCCATTTTCAAAATACAAACTGAATAACTCTTCAACCTTGGGTATCATGTTATCCAAGACATCACTGGTACCAAAATAATTTGCATTTACTTTCTCCATGTACCAAGTTGATATGTCAGAATGAGTCTGTTTATCAAATTTTTTAGTTAACTTTCTGAATCCAGTACGATTCAACATTCTATAAGATTTCAATAACTCTAACCCGCGGTAATATTCTTGAATTGCACTTTTGATTTGTCTTCTTGCAACGTAGTAAGGAACCGATGGTTTTTTACGGAGTTCATAGTCTCTTCTATTGTGAGCTTGTTGACTTGCATCAGCATCATCATCTCCTTTAATCTTCATTTTCCGGAGATTTATCTTAGGTAAAGATGGTAATTCATACTTGTTAATTTTTTGAAGCTTTGTTTTAGCTTCATCCATTCCCAAATGTAAAATTTCATCAGAGTGATCATGATGTCCTTGACTTTTCAGTAACTCTCTTTGTTCCCTTAATTGATATAACTGATCTTGAAGCAACAAAAACCTTTCAACTGCTTGATCTTCCTTTTCTCTATAAAACATCTCGATCTTATAAAGTTCACTATCTAGCCATTCAAGAAATTCTTTTTTACCTGTTTCAGTTGTATTTTCCAAAGGAACCCCATCTGATAATGGGACCGAGCTACCACCATAAGTTTTGGGAGGAGCGCGATTTATAGACCGTGCAGTCATGGCTCTTTGTAACGGAGATCCCTCTTCTATGTTACTAACCAAAGACTGTCTCTTATAAACCGAAGGGTGAGCACGAATGCTTGCAGTTTTCTTTGTACCTAACAATGGGGTTTGGTCATTAGTAACGTTTTCAAATGGGACCTCTTCGAAATCCTTACTTCTTCCACTCTCCTCTAAGGGATCTATAGCAGCTGGTGGTAATGAAAATGAGTTAATATCATCTTTCTTCTGCTTGAATGAATGTTCTGAAAATTTTCCACTATGTTGTTGTTTTGGAGTAACACCTGGTAAATTTTTTGCAAAAGACAGAGGACTATTATTGATCTTCTTTATTCTCTTCTTCCCACCCTTTGAACAAAAGTTAGTTTTCAAATCACTCTTTTTTTGAATAGAGGAAAAAATTTTCTTGACATACCTTATAATCCAAATATTTAGCTCTCCATTCTCCTACCTAGTAAAATGTTAGATCTTGACGCAAAAAAAAAGAGCAAAACACAAGCCTTTCAACTTACCAAGTTTTCCGAAAGGTATCTAGGGGCTAATGTTAGTTTACACAACTCTTTTTAAAAGCATTAATCTTTTTCAACTCACTCTGCAAACTTCATCTTATCAATTAGTACTCAGGTGACACTTTTGAATGCTAAAGCACGTGAGGGTATGTGAAAGCAACGAAAAGAAGCCTTGAACTAGCGGGAGGTAATCTTCTTGTCTATTGAGCACTTGATCTGTGTGATCTTCTTCACGGTGGCTCTGTCCAATCCTGGTTCTTTTCTGTTAAGCGCTAGCTCGTGGGTTTCGAATTAAAACAAGTTCAGATTCAAATGTGTAAATTATTTATTTGGGCACTAAATTCCTTGATGCGGCCGCAACCGGGTTTCTGCAGGAAATTGACCCGATCCTTTGGCAGATGTGTCGAGGAAAAAAATAGTCGATTCAACAATAAGTAAACTCGTTTTCAGCCCTTCAGTTCCAATCAACAAAGAGCAAGCGAACAACAGTCATGTCCAGAGTCGTTATCACCGGTATGGGTATGGTCTCACCACTAGGTGTTGGTGTGAAGCATTCTTGGAATGCTCTTTTAGCTGGGAAATCTGGTATCGTCTCCACAGATTCTTTAAATGATGAACGATATGAAAAAATCCCTTCCAAAACTGTTGGTAAAGTTCCAGAAGGTGAATTAGCTCAAGGTGGCTGGAATATAAACGAACATTTTCAAAAAGGTGAAGCAAGACGTTTGGCAACATTCTCTCAGTATGCCTTGGCTGCTGCTCATGAAGCTTTAACAGATGCAAATTGGTTTCCAACAGAAATTGAAGATCAATTAAACACAGGTGTCATTGTTGGTTCTGGTATAGGTAGTATTACTGATACTTTTGAGAATTCTATTGCTTTTGGGAATGGTGGTTATAGAAAAGTTCAACCTTTATTCGTCCCTAAAATGCTACCAAATATGGCTGCTGGTGCTATTTCGATCAAATACGGTCTAAAAGGACCAAATCACTGTCCATCTACAGCTTGTGCTACAGGAAATCATGCTATTGGTGACTCCTATAGATTTATTAAAGATGGGTATGCTAAGACTATAGTAGCTGGTGCTTCTGAAGCCCCACTTCATCCTCTGGCTTTAGCCGGATTTGCAAGAGCTCAATCGGTGGCCACTGATTTCAATGATACCCCAGAGAAAGCTTCAAGACCTTTCGATAAAGAAAGGGGTGGTTTTGTTTTGAGCGAAGGTTCTGGGATCTTGATCCTGGAAGAATTGGAACATGCAAAGAAACGAAATGCTAAAATTTATGCCGAAATTGTTGGTTATGGATTATCTGGTGATGGACATCATATAACAGCACCTTCTCCAGATGGTTTAGGAGCAAGAAGGGCAATGGAGCTTGCTACAAGAGGTATTGATCTCACAAAAGTCGGGTACATCAATGCACATGCAACATCAACATTGATTGGTGATAGAATTGAGAATAATGCTATTAAAACAATTTTCAAAAACAACTTAGACTTCCTTGTCTCTTCTACTAAAGGATCACACGGTCATTTATTGGGTGCAGCTGGTGCTGTTGAAGCTATATTCTCAATTTTGGCTGTTCAAAATAACATCGCACCTCCAACTTTGAATTTGGAATCACCAGGTGGAGCGGAAGGTGATAATATTGAGGACTTTACACTAAACTTGGTTGGTCCAAAGCCAGTTGAGCAAAATATTGAATATTCGTTATCAAATAGTTTTGGTTTCGGTGGTATCAATACTTCATTATTGTTCAAAAAATACACTGAATAACTAACTATACGAACGAATTATTTATTAACTTTATGACTCTATGATATATGTCTATATAATGATTATATTACGAACGGTATTATACTCCATTTGGGAATCTTTCCTTCATTGTTAATTTTGTAATAATTCCGCGTCTCTATAGAAGACACTGTCAAGTTAACGATAACCCATATCAAACTTATAAGAGAAGTTTTGTTTCCGAGAAGTAGATATACTGATGTATAAATGAGAATTTCATCAAAATAATGAGCACAACAGATAAGCTTGAACATTCCAAAGCTTGGTAAATTGTACTTGATGGTTTTTGAAAGATGAAAATGATTTAAAAATTGGTCGCCAAAACCAATTAAAAAAAGAAACAAAGGAATAAAAATCTTATAATCCAATTCAGGCTCTTCTTGTAAATCATCCTCTCCAAGTGATGTATTTATAATGATATTGAGATTGATTGCAGAATAAAAGAAAATACCAACCAAATAATGTGATAAATGCATTTTAGATTTACTGCTATGTCTTAAGATGAACAGGTTTTCAACTAGCCTTCTGAAAGAATGAACCAATATTAAAAAGTAGGCTAATCTTGATATACTTGGAGGACTTTTACCGTATGAATTTGTGTTGAAAAACTGAACACACCATGCATCTTTGGATTTCAACCCCCAATGTAATAAGGCAAAAAATATAGCGGATAGTGTGAGGGAAACCACATAAAAATGGAAAAACCAATACTTTGGGACATAAATCTGTAATAGGTTGTCAAGTAATCTGTTGTCTTTTTCAATTGGTTTATTGGTTGAACCATCTAACGTCTTTCCATATTTTAAAAGTCTATTCAATTTGGGATAAAACTTAGCCAGAAGGACACTAATTATGGCACCGGCATAAAATATCTGTAATATGATATCGACATGTTTTAAAATCATCACAGGAAGCTGTATGAAAATATAATTATTGATAACTTTAGCAGTTCTCTTAAATAATATTAATGAAAAAAAAAACACCAATGATTTTGCGGAGTTTCGCGCTTCCCGGCGCTAATATAGCGACTCCAAAAAAAGTGTGAATATGGTGCAATTTGCTCAAAATGAATGTTTAAAAGACTAGAAATGGTTTTAAAAGAATCTATAGTTCTCTTTTGGCATTACAATGCTCTAAAAAATGGCCAAAAACGGCAAAAAAAATTAAATGCCACCACCTGGAATCGAACCTGGGTCTGGTCGGCCACAACGACCTGTACTAACCACTATACTATGATGGCTTTCTTTATGAGTTTTTAATGACGTTGATCTCCCAAGCCATTCTTTTGCTTATATAAGAGATTACAAAGCTTTCGGGCGTATAGTTCAGCGGCCAGGGTTCCAATTATATGTGACACGGTTCCCGGTTCGAATTTGAAAACCTGTTCTAACGTTAAGTGAATCCGAAAGCGAGGGAGTTTTAGTGGGTATGCCTAAATGTATACAGGTGAATCCCACACTGTTCCAGTATTTAATTATACTGGTTCGTGCTTAAAGCATTTCTTCCTTGTAGTGCATAATGTTATTGTTGTATACAAA